TTATGATGCTTTATCTGGAAACGTGAAAAGCTTGGTTGCATGACTGACGGGAAACTGTTCCCCCGTCACTGTCGTTTCTCGTCCTGGATGGTGCAATAAAGAGTGCAGCGGAGGGACAGCTCTTTGCAAAAAGCTTCATTTTTAATAGTAGAGTTCTTTGTCCCACCAACCTGTAGGGAGGGAGAATTAATCCAGTGAGATCATAGCAAAAGGTGGCGGTAACTTGCCTGACCCAAACTGTAATATCTTAGATCAAGATGGGTCGTCATGTCTGTCAGCAGCAGTAGAAAAGAGCAAGAGTCATAAGAACATAAGAGAAGCCAATGTTGGATCAGGCCAATGACCTACCTATCCAGTCGAATACTCTGTCACACAGTGGCCAAAAATACCAGGTGCCACCAGGAGGTCCAGCAGTGGGGCCAGGACACTAGAAGCCCTCCCACTGTTGCTCCCCCCAAGCACCAAGAATACAGAGCATCTCTTTCCCCAGCCTGAGAGCTCCTATCTATGCCTTGTGACTAATAGCCACTGATGGACTTCTGCTCCATATGCTTATGTAATTCCCTCTTGAAGTTGTCCACGCTTGTAACCACCACCAGTGTTCCCTCTAGGCTGAGTTAATGTGAGCTAGCTCACAGTTTTTCAGCCTCCGGCTCACACATTTTTTGTCTTAGCTCAGGAAGGGATGGCTCCAGAGCAAGCTAATTTATGCACTAGCCATATTGCTTGCTCACAACTTTAATGTCAGTAGCTCACAAAGTAGAACTTTTACTCACAAGACCCCACAGCTTAGCGGGAACATTGACCACCACCACCTCCTGTGGCAGTGAATTCCATGTGTTCATCATTCTTTGAGTCCAGTAGCACCTTAAAGACTAACGAAATTTGTGGCCGGGGATGAGCTTTCGTAAATAACTTGGTGAATAACAACTTCTTTCCCTGCAAGGCACTTGAGTACGATGCTTTTTCTGGAGACGTAGCTGAAGAAGTGAGTGGTGACTCACGCAAGCTCAACTCTGTCACAAATTTTGTTAGTCTTTAACGTGCTACTGGACTCTTGCTCTTTTTTACTGTTATTTCTTAGGGCAGTGTCTATTGGTAATATCTGATTTGGAGAAGCCAAAGGGAACAAGTCTCAATGGGGTACAAATAAATAAATTGGACTGAAGAAAGGATCGGATGTTCCCAGTGCTGTAAACACAGAAATAGTGCTGGGGGCGCAGTGTTCCCTCTAAGCTGAGATAGTGTGAGCTAGCTCACAGTTTTTTTAGCCTCCGGCTCACACATTTTTGTCTCGGGAATGATGGCTCCAGAGCAAACTAACTTATGCCAAATCGCTCGCTCACCACTTTAATGCCAGTAGCTCACAAGGTAGAATTTTTGCTCACAAGACACCACAGCTTAGAGGGAGCATGGGGGGGGGGAGAAGAAGTATCTTTTTGACTGGGAATGTTGGTGTGGGGAGAAGGGGGAGATGGCAGCCTTAGGGGGGCTTGCCTATGGTTACTTACTTCCCGGGTGCCTCCGTACTCCCAGCTTTCGGATCTCGTCATAGACAAAGATGAGGAGGCCGTAGGGAAGTGGCACGAGCCACCACTGGAATCTGGGTAGGATCAGGGAAAAGAAAGGTCAGTTTCCAGGGCGGTCCATTGAGCTTGACAGCAACCAGTGTGGATTGATCAAAGCTGGCCTGAGCATTCCCTACTAGCTCGTTCCAATCAGATCCTAGCCTTCCATCTTTAAGCTTGGGTTCCACCAGTCTAGCAGAAGCTTCAGCCTCTGCCCCGGACTCCTTCCGGTGTCCAGCCACTTCCAAAACTTCATCTGGAACAAGCAATGTCCAATGGACGACTTTTCTCCAGGCACAGGGTCCTTTGGGGGAACATTTGAAACAAAGATGGACTTCCTCTAGCTACGCTCATTAGCTTGGAGCTAGCCATAAACAAACAGCCATGGACTGAAACATTTTGTGATCAGTTATGCAGTGGCTCAAGTGGTTAAGACGCTGAACTGCAGGCTGTGGAAGGTTGGTAGTTCAGCAGTTCAAGACTCGAGTGTACCGCATGACGGAGTGAGCTCACGTCTCTAGTTCCAGCTCCTGCCAACTTAGCAGTTCGAAAGCAAGAAATTGCAAGTAGATAAATAGGTACCACTTCGGTGGGAGGGTAACAGCGTTCCGTGCGCCTTGGTGTTTATTCATGCCGGCCACATGACCACGGAAACGTCTTCGGACAGCGCTCGCTCTTCGGCTTTGAAATGGAGATGAGCACCGCAACCCTAGAGTCAGACTCGACTGGCTTTCGAGCAACGGAACCTTTACCTTTTTTATGTGACATTTACATGCCACTGGCAATGCTGGACGATGAATTTTGAGAGGGCACTCAAAACAGTTGGCTGAGTCACAAAAAGGATAAGCGCTCAGTTTGGGCAGAAGGATATGGAGACGAAGAGAAGAAGAGGAGATTGGATTTATACCCCACCCTTCACTCGGAGTCTCAGAGTGGCTTACAATCTCCTTCCGTTCGCCTCCCCAGAACAGACACCCTGTGAGGTGGGTGGGGCTGAGAGAGCTCTTTCAAGGACTGCTCTTGAGAGAACAGCCCTGAGAGAACTTGTGACTGACCCATGGTCACACCAGCAGCTGCATGTGGAGGAGTACCCGAAAACAACTGGAGCCCAGTAGCACCTCAAAGACTAAATTCATTGGAATTGACAGTCATTAAGGTGTCACTGGACTGCTGTTTTAATTTGCTGCTACAGACAAACAGAGTGACCCCTCCGGAGTTAACATTGTGAAGATAGAGTTCTAAATTAGCTGGGTTAGAAATGTCCTTATTAGCACGCTTTACTGCAAGCCCTTTCGAGTCACTCAACGGAAAAAAAAGGGTATGCATCTAAATAGGTTGTGATAAGTGCTTCTTGGTGGGCTGTTGTCTAGGGGGCAGCAGAACATTTAGTAGACGCTGCCACCCACAAGACGGTACTTTAGTGTAGGCTGGAAAGCATCCCGGCTTGGAACGACTGGATGCCGCTGTCCACGGTGCTGAACTAAAGGGAGCTTTTGTCTTTTCAGCTGCTGTATGCTTCCCTGTCCCGAAAGGTTAGTTACATACAAAGTTAGTTACATACAGTGGCTAAAAACTATACTTATAACTTAATTATCATCAAAAAATTAATGTATTTATTATAATCAGTTAGCTAAACACAGTTATGGGCCCTATTGCAGCCTCAATACAGGATAAATATGTACAACATACACAAGTGGTCCAGAAGATATAATCAAATCCGAGCCAATGTACCAAAAGTGTTTACCTGATCATAACACAAGGCAATACTCTAGGAGGACTCATCAGTGCTCTCAGGCCTTGGGTCAATTGATTGTAACTATTAAACTCCTTTTTTGGTCCTATGTTGATTAACTTCTTGTCTTCTTATTGTATCATTGAGCCATTTTGTACAAATATCGCTTGACCACTGAGGAAGGCCACTTTGGCTGAAACGTGTCTGGTCGCAATAAGTCCCACCTGTGAGTGTTGTACACTTTTAATCTTTATTGAGGCTACAACTGGGCCTATAACTTTTTAACTAACTGATGTGAATAAATATATGTATTCTTGATAATAATTGAGCTATATGCATGGTTCCTAGCCACTGGCCCTTTTGCTGGTCCTTGTTGTTCAGTCGCACAGTCGAGTCCGACTCCTCGCGACCCCATGGACCAGATCACGCCAGGCCTTCCTGTCTTCTGCTGTCCTCTGAAGTTTGCTCAACTTCATGTTCGTTGCATCCATGACACTGTCTAACCATCTCATCCTTTGCCGTCCCCGTCTTCTTTGACCTTCAGTCTTTCCCAGCATCAGGGTCTTCTCCAGTGAGTGCTTCCTTCTCATTTGATGGCCAAAGTATTTGAGCTTCAGTTTCAGTATCTGGCCTTCCAGGGAACAGTCAGAGTTGATTTCTTTTAGGATTGACTGATTTGATCTTCTCGCAGTCCAGGGGACTCTCAAGAGTCTTCTCCAGCACCATAGTTCAAAAGAATCTATTCTTCGGCGCTCGGCCTTCCTTATAGTCCAACTCTCGCAGCCATACATGACCTGGGAATACCATTGCTTTGACCATGCGTATGTAAACTAAGCTTTCGGGTACTTTATTTATTTGTTTGGGTTAAGTCCCTCCCCCTTATCTCTTTGTTTCCCGTTCAGGCTCGAACAGGGAATCAGACCCGACTCACACAGCAGAGTGAGGTGGTATAGAATGAGCTGTACTGTTGGTGGTATAGAATGAGCTGTACTGTATAGAATGAGCAGTGCTCTTGGGGAGGACACTCCCCTTTTTTCATATATATCCCCCATGTAAAAAAAAATTCCCAGATACATAATACAGAAGGGGCAGAAGTTCTAGGCATTTTAGAAAATTTAATTAATTTGTACCCCGCCTTTCTCCCCAACAGGGATCCAAGGCAGCTGACATCATTCTCCTCTCCTCCATTTTATTGTCACAATAACCCTGTGAGGTGGGTTAGACTGAGAGAATGTGACTGGCCCAAGGTCACACAGCAAGTGTCTGAGGCAGGAGTGGAAATTTGACCCTGGGTCTCCCAGATACTAGTCTGACACTTAACCACTACACTGCACTGGCTCTTTTATATGCTTTGCTGGTTTCTTGCAGGGAGTTCTTAACCTGGAGGGCCTTTCTCTTCAGTTGGGGCTGAGAGCAGCTTAGAACACTCATTCTTTCACAACAACCACCCTGCGAGGCAGGCTAGATTGAGAGTTTGTGACAGGCCCAAGGTCACCAAGTGACCTTCCACGGTAGAAGCGGGGGATTCAAGCCTGTATCTCAGGATCCTAGTCCAACACTCTATCCAATATCCTTTGCCATTCTGTCCTTCTCAACTTCTTGAAAGCTCAATGTACTTCGAGGAGACATTCTGAGTCATTTTAGAAGTATGAGGTCCATAGAGACTATGGGCTCTTCTAGACCTAGAAGTCTACAAAGTCACCCCATAGAGACTCTTTTAGAAACTGAATCCTTCCCGGTGAATGAGTCCTTACCGTATGGGCATGAAGTTGAATATGTTGGGCATCCCGGGGCAGTAGCAGAGGAAGCAGCCTAGGCAGAGCTGGAAGACGATGGCGATCACCAGAACTTTGTTTCTGCAAAGGGAAGGAGACGGGAGATGGAAGAGGAGAGTCCAGGCTTAGTGGATTCTATCCAGTAGGGGGCAGGCTTGAGAGTGAGGCTGCACAGACACAAGGGTAAAGGAGGGCTCCTATGTCTCTCTGCTTTTGGCCACCAAGGAAGTCCACCAGGTTGCTCAGCTGTAGATGTGAGCACAGTGAGCATGCACTGATGCAGAGCCACAGCCATAAATGGGGTGAAGGCTGGGTCCACGGGTTGTCTGACACTTAACCACTACACTGCACTGGCTCTTTTATATGCTTTGCTGGTTTCTTGCAGGGAGTTCTTAACCTGGAGGGCCTTTCTCTTCAGTTGGGGCTGAGAGCAGCTTAGAACACTCATTCTTTCACAACAACCACCCTGCGAGGCAGGCTAGATTGAGAGTTTGTGACAGGCCCAAGGTCACCAAGTGACCTTCCACGGTAGAAGCGGGGGATTCAAGCCTGTATCTCAGGATCCTAGTCCAACACTCTATCCAATATCCTTTGCCATTCTGTCCTTCTCAACTTCTTGAAAGCTCAATGTACTTCGAGGAGACATTCTGAGTCATTTTAGAAGTATGAGGTCCACAGAGACTATGGGCTCTTCTAGACCTAGAAGTCTACAAAGTCACCCCATAGAGACTCTTTTAGAAACTGAATCCTTCCCGATGAATGAGTCCTTACCGTATGGGCATGAAGTTGAATATGTTGGGCATCCCGGGGCAGTAGCAGAGGAAGCAGCCTAGGCAGAGCTGGAAGACGATGGCGATCACCAGAACTTTGTTTCTGCAAAGGGAAGGAGACGGGAGATGGAAGAGGAGAGTCCAGGCTTAGTGGATTCTATCCAGTAGGGGGCAGACTTGAGAGTGAGGCTGCACAGACACAAGGGTAAAGGAGGGCTCCTATGTCTCTCTGCTTTTGGCCACCAAGGAAGTCCACCAGGTTGCTCAGCTGCTCAGCTGTAGATGTGATACTGCAAGCATGCACTGATGCAGAACCACAGCCAGAAATGGGGTAAAGGCTAGGTCCACGGGTATGTTGGGGTGAGGAATCAGTGCAGAGCCACCGGGTGGGTCAGGACCCACACCTGGGACACGCCAGTTGGTTCACCTGCTGGAAATTCAGGTTAGGGCTGGACTAAAGAGGTTTCCCAGAGTTCCTCTGTTTCCTGTCTCTGGTACGACCCCAGAAGTGTGGCTGAGAGCAGCGAAACCAAGATGCATCTGTTTCTGGGGAACAGCATGAGAACTAACCATTTAAATTTAAAAGCAAAATCACATTGCTGGGCATGGGTTGGCAGTACACAAAAATCCAAAGCCAAGCCGCAGTTGGTAGTGGGAATCATCGGTGTGAATTTGCATTAAAGGAGGCAAGGTAGAAAGGTTCTCGTTGGGGCATGAAGAGTTGATATGCAGAGTTGATAGGGCACGGACTATGGGGCTCCCACCTACCGGAAGAACCCCTGCTGGAAGACGGAGAGACGCCGTGTCTTGCGGATGAGCACGTCAGCAATCTGACACATCTCAATGCTGATGAAGAAGACGGTGTAGCAGGTATATTCCTGGTAGAGGCGCTGCCCAAAGGTCTGAAAGAGAGCAGCGCAGCCAACTGTCACGTTCGAACACTCAACGTCATCCGCCCTCCCAATTCATCAGTCTAGGGTCAGTAGTACCCCCCCCAGGAACAGAGGGGGCATGCTTTCCATTCTGTACCCTTAATTTAGGGCATATAGAAGACGTGAAATAGACTGGCCAGTTTCCGGTGGATGGCTTAAAACTCACCGGTTGCTAGATTCCTGCAAACCATGCAAAATGTAAACAAACCTTCAAACTGGTGCTAAATAATCACCAGGCTGTGCCTTTCCTGAGCCAGGGGTCCCCAACATGGTGCCTGCAGTTGCCATGGTGCCTGCTGGGGGGTTTAGGAGGTAGGCGGGGCCAGGTAGGGCTTTTGCCCAGGAAGGCTTCTGATTGGCTGTTGGAGATTTGATTGGCAGTACAGATTATTTTTAAAAAATATTGCTTTGGCAGCAGCTGCCACCACAACACAAGGATCTGCACTGCGTGACTGAAGGTCAGCTGCTGACAGACACGCACTATGCAAAAACTGAGCCAAATATAGATGTCTAAAAATTATATAATACTGTAAGATATTGTATATTATCAATAAATTTGTACAATCCTAACGTATTATCAATACACACTCATTAAATTTTATAAACTTTAACCATAAACATTTCATTATTTTCCCACCACATGTAATATGTTTTCATTCAAAACAATACAGGATATATACTCGAAAACCAACATGAAAATAGTAAGTCCATAATATGTAAATATTCTTGAGCTTGCTTCCTTGATGAACCTTCCAATCATGATTCAACCGATACTCGGTTGAAACCTGTTTGAAGGAATCTTTCTCAAGAATCGCCCTTTTAAAACCCAAGTCTTCGAATTGCCCTGCTGGTAAATTTCCCCGACAAGAATTCTTTTTATATTGACTTAAGCCAGCAACATGACTGTAACGATTCCTTGTTTTGGTGTGTGTGTGTGTCTTTAAAAGTTTGGTTGCATGGCAGTGGTAAGTAGACTAGAGTGGTTGAGAGAAGCAAGCGTGGTATGATTGGTGGTTGACAGAGAGGGGGAGGGGTTTTGGAAGTGAAAATGAGTGGAGGAGTATGTAAGTCTAGAGTTTCAGTTACAGGTTGACAGTTGATAAGTTCGGAGTTCTGAGAGAGAAGCAGAGAGAAGCAGTTCTGTGTGGGGAATGAGTTAGACAAGCAGCTAGTTCTGTGTGTGAGGGAAGTGAGAAGCAGAAGGAAGGCTGAGAGAATAGGAAAAATTAAATGAAAGCTTAATTGAAGACAAGTTATAGGAAAGGCTGTATGTCCTGGAGAGAAACAGTGAACATATATGACCTTGAGTTAAAGCGTTACAAAGTTACCTGAAAGATCCCTGTCAGTAAGGGAGCAGATTGTGTGTGATACACTAAGCATTTGTTCATGATTTACTCCTTACTGGTTACATTGTTCTACCCTTTTATTTATGAATTACTTCAATAAATCCTCTTTTATTTAAGTATACCAGCTCTGAAAGAAATACTTCCTCAGGACCACATAGTTCCTCCTTGAACTCGGACTACCTAACTAGTAAGAGCAACAGTAAAGTATAAAGGTTTGGAAAGCCTTAAATTTCCTGGTGGCAGCCGGATATACCCAGTAGAACAAAATAAAGAACACTTTTAAAGTGAAACCAGTCCTCCCTAATAAGGAGGACGTCACAATGACATTTATAGTGGAATGCAAACTTCAGAAACTTCATGCAAAAACCTCATTCCAAAAAGGTTATGGACTTACCATTTTCGAGTTGGTTTTCGAGTATATATCCTGTACTGTTTTGAATGAAATGATATTACACATGGTGGAAAAAATAATGAAATGTTTATGGAGTTGGAGTTTATAAAATTTAACGAAAACTTACTGATAATACATTATGATTGTATGGATTTATTGATAATATACAATATCTTACAATAATGTATAATTTTTAGACATTTGTATTTGGTTCAGCTTTTGCACGGTGCGTCTCAGTCAGTGTTTTTGTCTACCACCGTGATGTGCTTGTATCTATTTGAAGTTAAGCTGCGGCAGCCATTTTGTGGCTGGCTCGGCCTCCTGTGGGAACCATTTTGTGGCTGGCTCCACCTCCTGCGGCAGCCATTTTGTGGCTGCGCTCACCACACTGTGTCAGTGTTCCAAATGTGCTCTCAGGCTCAGAAAGGTTGGGGATCCCTGTCCTAATCCAGTCCTGTCTTCAAGGATGCACCACCCGTATGTGTCCTCAGGACACAGGGACTGTGGATCAGATGTGGCTCTTGACTCACCCACTCTTGCCCGTAGCTATCCTGGAGATCCTGGAGATGGTCGTTCTCCCAGTCGGCCCGAAGGCCCACACACTTCAGTGGGTACCAGCCCTCCTGGGCCATGGCAGTGAGGTAGTCGGTGAACCCCGCAAATGACTGGATCGCTCCTGCGCGAGATGGAAACACGGGCAGATTTCGGTCAGGTATCGGCCCACCCTCCTTTGCCAACACAAGGGGTGAAGGGGCCAGTAGCTCAGCTGTGTCCTGCCACTGCTGATAGAAACTGTATTCTGCACGACTCTCGGAGAGCTAATACAGACAGGAGCCAATGTTCCCTCTATGCTGTGGAGTCTTGTGAGCAAACATTCTACTTTGTGAGCTACTGGCATTAAAGTTGTGAGCGAGCCATTTGGCTCCTGCATACATTAGTTTGCTCTGGAGCCCTCCTTCCTGAGCAAAGACAAAAATGTGTGAGCCAGAGGCTAAAAAACTGTGAGCTAGCTCACCCTAACTCAGCTTAGAGGGAACACTGGACAGGACACAGGTTTTTAATCAGTGACTGTATTTATTTCATCGGGGGGGGGCTAACGGCGGCTTCGGAGTGGTGTCATTTAGTTTGGGGGAATACGTCCCCTGGGGCTGCTTCACCTTAGCAGCATCTGTGCCTACTTCGAAGTAAAAAGGCCCTGGGAAGCCTTGTCAACAGAGCTACCAAAGCACATTTGTTTGGGCTTTGGACTTCAGAGTCAAGAGGTTTGATCTGGATCTCCTGACTCTGAGTAAACGTAGGCAGGTCACGAGAAGGGAGGGCAGGAAGGGTTGCCTCAGTGCTTAGTTCTCGTGGCCCTTTCTTACACGCCCAGGGAAATGCTGAACGCCACTTTGGGGGCAGGAAGCAATTGCTCTACAGGCCAGTTTGGCCAGTGATCCTGGAGGGTTCCCCCGCTCTTCTGGGCGTAGAGCAGGGGGTCACTGGGTGTGTGTGTGGGGAGGAGGTATTTGTGAATTTCCTGCATTTGTGCAGGAGGTTGGACTAGATGACCCCGGAGGTCCCTTCCAACTCGATGATTCTATGATCTGTTTTGACCATAGCGTTTGTGCATGCTGCCAAGTCAAAGGCAACTTATGGTGATCCTCCAGCAACCCTGCAGTTCCTTGGTGGGCTCCAGGAGTCATTTCCTGCAGGAGCTCACAGGAGCGGAGCTCCAGCAGTAAAGAGCCCAGGGGGCGGGAGTAGAAGCAAATATCAAAGTCCAAATTGAAGTGCAAGTCATCAAATTTTCTGAGCCATAAAAAGCCGACGCGTAATCCGGATGCCTGATGCCGCGTTTCGAATAATTCTTATTCAAGCATGGCTGTAATGGGACCCAGTCTCAAAAGCTGGCATATACTAATCCAGAATGGTCAGTCAGTGCGTTTATTTGCAGTCAGTGGTGTGTTCTTTGCTGTTCCTTGTATTGTACACTGGCTTCCCCCCTTTTTTAAGATGTCGAGAAAGGCAAACACCTTTCAAAACTTTTAACTGCAGACCCAACCCCTCCCTCCCACCTCCCTCCATGATTGGGCAAAAAGAAAGGGAAGGGAGGGGGAGATCCAGGCCCCCACGTGCAAGACTGACACATTTGGGAGCAGGGAATCCCCTAGTCCTTTATATTTACTGATTCCTTCTTATGCTCTCTCTGGCTTTTTAAAAGTTTGCCTGAACGGGAGGACACATCCTCTTTAGTCTTTGGAGAAGGAGGGAAAGAAAACAGAACGGGGAGGGGGCGTCCGCCTAAAGAGAAAGAGGCGGAAACGGGGGGAGGGGCAGTGGGCAGCACTTAAATACCCGCAGAAACAATTCTACTTTAGAAAGGATTAGTGATTCGAAAGCAGATGAGAATAAAGAATCGCTGCAAAGGGAGTTTGGGTAGCTGCGGGGCAACAGTGCGGGAAGCGGTTTGAATGCAGATTCCTGTAAAACAAATGCAGAAACAAGAGAAAGCCCCGAAACAAACTGGAAGTGAAGGCAGGAGGGAATGCAGAACGGAAGAATAGGATGCGCTCAGAAACCAAGGCAAAATATGGGTGCAGAAAGGGCCTTGGTTAAATCATGAGAGGGAGGACACTGAAGACCAAGGGGTGTTGGGTGGCTGCTAGTACCTGCTAGTAATTCCCAATTTATCAAGCTGCTCTCCTTTCTGCATATCTCCCCTCTGCTCTTTTGAGGGTCATGCCTTAGCAAGGTACACATCATTTGGCAAACCCTTTGTTCAATCTTGAGAACTTGTTCATTTAGCTGATGCCTGCCAACTATAAGCAAGGTACACATCATTTGGCAAACCCTTTGTTCAATCTTGAGAACTTGTTCATTTAGCTGATGCCTGCCAACTATAAGCAAGGTACACATCATTTGGCAAACCCTTTGGCTATGCCCGAAAGAATTTCAATAAGATCATTTGCATGGTTATTTTGCTTTCTTGCCCACTGCAATACTTCTTCACAGATGCTGGACTCCTCCACTGCCACTTCCAATTTTAGAAAGGCACATAGTTAAAAGGAAAATACTGCTTTGAGAGTTTTGAACTGAGATTTACTATTAGTGTCTCTGTGTGCCTTCTGTGTCTTCCCATGAACCCTGCCAATTTTGCAACAGTTTCTTGCAATCACTTCTCAAACAATCACTTCTCCAACAAAACCCACAGACAGAGCAATCTAGCCAGTATTGATCATTTAAAGGATGCATCCAACTGCGTGGAAAGGATGAACTGTAAGAGTGTCCCTGCACTGCAACAGAAGTCAGTCACTTTAATGACTCAACTATGGGGGACAGGTGCCTCATGTTAGAGAATGAACTTGATATTTTGCTTTATGGACTATATTTATTGCTACACACAATGGACTGTGCACCCACACACATAGGCTCAGAGAACTGTACACTAAGTCACCTGTTGTGATGCTACACACAGAAGGTGCCTGTACATGCCTTATAAGGTTTCAGCTACACAGTTACTAGCCTGGTGAAGAAGCACACATCTCCATTATTGTGAGCAGTAAGAAACAACAACTTGAGCAGAGACAGCCCCCATTGCAGAATTATTTGTGGTCACATACGACACATCACTGCTTTGTTCCTGCACTGGTATTTCCTGCCAAATGGACATTTGGTTCACAATGAGAATGGCCAGCTTCATCTACACTACAATGGAGCATCCTGACGCCAAGGATTTCACACCTGCACAGATGCCCTCCTTTGAGTAAGGTATTAGATTTCAATATTGGCCACTCCTTATAGGTAACCTCCCACTCCTATAGGCAACCGATAGGATTGTTTTTGGGACGGACTAACAGGTAGGTGGGCCAGGAGGTTGGCACGGCCACCACCCACCTCCTGGATCCCCCGATAAAAGGAGAGAACCAGTCACATGGTCTGTCTCTCTCCTACTTGATCAACTAGCTAGCATCCCCCGCAACAACCCCTGTCTGCTTTTTACTCCTCTTAAGTCCCACTTGCTATCCCCAAACCCTTGCCTCTACTTTGATCTCTTGATCTGCAGTCAAGAGATCCACACGTTCTGGCTGGTTCTGGTCATGTGTGAACTCCCTTTAGTTTACATTTCTTCCCATCCATTCTTCATTGGAACAACCAACGCTGTGAGACATAAGTATTGCCCATCATCACCCCCACCTGCTAATGCAACTGTGCTCGTAATTCTAAGGAACTTGATTGAATGTGTGAGTGCATCAGTATTGTTTGTATGAGATTTACTCTTTAAGTAAAAGACATCTATTTTAACAACAACAGCCTCGTTATCCTTCTCTGGTAACCCTTGGTGGGAACAGGACCTTGGTATAAACTGGCAAGAACCCATTTATAAATTGCCAATTGCTGTAAATAAAGCAATTTGGCTAACACTCAATGGTTAATGGAAACTGTTCTGTTTTCAGATCAGGCAAAAGCAGCCACAAACTGCAACTATCTGGCTATATAAAACCAGCCACTATTACTCAGGTGCAAAGCTGCTTGAGAATACAATGACAACAACCATGAAGGCGATCCAATCAGAATCTCTCCTCCCATAACATCCAGGGAGTCCAGCAAGGTAAATCCTAGTGAATCAGCTCCATGCCTAGCCCCAACTGGATATAAATACCTGCTAGTAAGTCCCCAATTATCAAACTGCTCTCCTTTCTGCATATCTCCCCTCTGCTCTTTTGAGGGTCATGCCTTATTTTCACAAACTTACAGGGCCAACAGCACCCACACAGTGCATGGAATGAATCTGAATTGATAAAGAAAAAAAAATGGGACTAGGAATAAGAACCCATTTGCCACTCACAATGTCTGTGCACAATTCGATGAAGAGGATGGTGATGCAGCCGAGGGGAAGAGGGACGCTGACTGTGATGTAAATCAGGTATGGGGTCAGCTCGGGGATGTTCTTGGTGAGGGTGTAGGCAATGGATTTTTTGAGGTTGTCAAAGATCAGGCGCCCTGGAGCAGAGGAAGACAGAGATGGTTTTAACCAACTGTTCCTTGTTGCTGAGACAATTTATGTCCTCCATCTTTTTTAATCGTCTCGCGAATCCCCCTTTGTGATTATGAGATTGCCCGCGGTTGATGGTCTTGCTGCAGGCCTATTCAACCTTTGGGGATTCCGCACTGAACTTAGGGCTTGGTCCATTCATTTCCTCAAGCATGTGGACAGGAAAACTCTGCTTGTTCTGAGGGGGGAACAGACTCCCATCCACTGATGTTTGAGATGGTCCATTATTGCAGGAAGAGCTTTAGCAAAGGAGCTCAATCTATGTTTTCCACTGAAGAGCTTAAATCATTATTAGCAATGCTTACAATCATAGCTGGATTGGTAATCGAAGGCTGCTTCCCCCACCCCCTTGGATCTCCCCGTAACAGACCTTGTTCAACGCCCGTGACAATGGAGGCGAAATTGTCATCCAGCAAGATCATGTCGGCAGCATTCTTGGCTGCATCGGATCCAGCAATGCCCATGGCCACGCCGATATCAGCCTTCTTCAGCGCAGGGGAGTCATTCACTCCGTCTCCCGTTACTGCCACAATTGCACCCTGCAAAGGAAGAGTACCAGGGGTCATTTCCTGCAGGAGCGCACAGGAGCGGAGCTCTGGCAGTAAAGAGCTCAGGGGGCGGGCACATGCAACAAGCCCCACCCCCTGCTCCCAGCAGCCCTCAGTCAGAGCAAGAAGCAGCCAGGTAAGCTGCAGAGATCCCCCCGGCCCCAAAGTCCAAAACAGACCAGTGACACTTTTAAGACCAAGGTTTATGCTGGTACAAGCTCTCCCTCCTCTGCGAGGACAGATCTGCACATTCCCACCCCCCCACAATAGCTAGGAATCCAAAACAGTCCAGTGGAGCCTGAGCAGTGGGTGTTGCCTTCTGACACACTTCCGGTGATGTCAGGGGGTGTGGCATATGCAAATAAGTTATGATAATGAGTTATGCTAATGAGCTCCTGCACCTCTTTTTCTATGAAATGACCCCTGGTCTCCATTTAAAATGATCGAGTAGTAGGCAGTGTGAAAGACCAGTCTCGGAGTCTTGGACAAGTGCTGCCAGTCAGAGCAGGCAATACTTTTTTTTGCTGTCAAGTTGCAGCTGATTTACAGCGACCTCGTAGGGTTTTCAAGGCACGAGACATTCATAGGTGGTTTTGCCATTGCCTGCCTCCATGTCATGACCCTGGTATTCCTTGGAGGTCTCCCATCCAAATACTAGCCAGGGCCGGCCCTGCTTAGCTTCCGAGATCTGATGAGATCGGGCTAGCCTGGGCTATATCCAGGTTAGGCCAATGCTAGTGCCAGGCTAATGGTCTGAGTCAACATACGGCAGCGTCTTGTGTTCGTGTGCGTCACCTCTTCCAAACTCTTTCTAGGGTCTGGTGGCCCTTACCAGCTTCTGGCAGCTTTCCACAATGATGAGCTTCTGTTGGGGAGAAGTGCGAGCAAAGACCATCTCCGGGTGCATCTTCAGGATCTCCACCAACTCTTCCGTCTCCATGTCTTTCAGCTGGCCCCCATTCACTACACAGGCCCGGGCATCCCTAGATGAGAGAGGCAAACACCTTTCTCGTAAATAGAGTCTCAGATACACAAGGGACAAGAACTTTGAAGTTTCTCCTACATCAGCTCTACTGCAATGAGAGGAGACAACACTGGTGCACCTCATTCGTTTCAGTGTGGTTTGCACAGGAAACGCTTCTCACTGATTGTAACTAGGGCCCCGGTCACACGAGAGGTTTTGGGCCGGTAGAGGGACGGAACGGGGACGCAGCAAACGTGCACGATCCCACAGCAACATCTGGGAATCGTGCTGCTTGCATCCCCGATCCGCCCCTTCCACCCAAAACCCCGCACCAAAACAGAACCACCTACCTTTGTGGTTCATCCGATAAGTGCGCCCCAAGCCCGGCCATGGGATCACCGGGGCGTTCTTGCGCCGGCGCATCCCCGGCCCCTGGCCGAACTGCGCATGTGTGAGCATGCGCAGTTCGCCAGCCTCCCCTTCCCACCGTAGCTTTCTCCCCGGCATCTGATCGTGCCGAGGAGAAAAGGTGCCGCGGCTCAGGGGATCCGTGGGATCCCGCCATGGCGTCTCAACTTTGGTGCGGCTTTTAGAAGCTGCGCTTTGAGCGAGTTTTCCCCTGCCGTGTGGCAGGGGCCTAGGGTGTGTAAATAAGAGCAGAAGAAGAGCCCGGCTGGATCAGACCAGAGGTCCATCTAGTCCAGCATCCTGTCTCAAACAGTGGCAAACCAGATCCTCTGGAGGGCCAACAATAGGGCATAGAGGCCGAGGCCTTTCTCAGATGTCGCCTCCTGGCTCTGGGATTCATAGGTTGAGTGCCTCTGATTGTGGAGGTTCCCCTCAGTCACCATGGCTAGTAGCCACTGATGGACTTACCCTCCTTGAGTCTGTCAAAACCCCACTTAAAAACCATCCCTACATCCCCTGGCAGTGAATTCCAAATTTTAATCACTCGTCGTGTGAAGAAGCGTTTCCATGCGTCCATCTCGAATCTGCTGCCCACCCGCTTCCTGGTTATGATCACATAGGTAACGATCACAGAGAAACGAGGTATTGGGGATCTGTGTTCGAAAGCGCAGATGTGAAATTGAGCTGGGAGGGGCTGATCTCGGGTGAGGCTGCAACGCTGAGAAAGCGGGGCTTTAACTCTTCCCCTCCACCCCATTTCCCAACAATTTTAGTGGCACTGGTTATCATTTACTATGAGTTTGGGTGGGGAGAGAAAGACCCAGAGGGAAACTTTGGGTGGAGTCCCACGATGGTTCTTAGCAGCTCAGGTGGGGGAAAGTGGGGCGTTAACTCTTGCTTTCCCCATGATTTAAATAGCCCCCTCCCAAAGCCACAGGTTCGAGATTGCCCACTGTCCTCTCCCTCCTTGCCAATCCAGTCCTCGCTCCCCCCATCTTGCATGAGACCCCTCCCCACCCAGGTCACATCCCTGTTTTTCCTCAGGGTACCAAACGATCCCTAAATCTCATGTAGGATGACAAGTGGCACGTTAACATGGCTGTGTGTGCAGACCCTCACCGCTTGTTGACCTGCTCCACGGGGATGCGCAAGCGGGTGGCGATGTCTTCAACAGTTTCGCTGCCTTCCGAGATGATGCCCACGCTGGCAGCGATGGCCTTGGCCGTGATGGGATGGTCCCCAGTTACCATGATCACCTGGGAGAGGAAGGGGGCAGGTGAGGTGGAAGAGTGAATTACAACCGGGATACATTATTTATAAAATACTGGTGACTGGCAGAACTCAATTTGGGGACCGGCTTTAATAGAGGAAATTTATATTCCAGTTAATATTAATCCTACCTACCTACCTACCTACCTACCTACTTACCTACTAGTCTTATCTCCCTAAAGGTAAAGGTTCCCTTGCTCGAAAGCCAGTCGAATCCGACTATAGGGTTGTGGTGCTCATCTCCATTTCAAAGCCGAAGAGCCAGCGCTGTCCGAAGACGTTTCCGGGGTCATGTGGCCGGCATGACTAAACACCAAGGCGCACGGAACGCTGTTACCTTCCCACCAAAGTGGTACCTATGTATCTACTTGCAATTTCTTGCTTTCGAACTGCTAGGTTGGCCTGCTGGGCTTTTTCAACAAAAAGAGCCCCGATCCTACCTACCTATCAGTCTTATTTCCCTACCTACCTATGAGCTCACTCCGTCATGCGGCACACTCGGGTCTCCAACTGCTGAACTACCGACCTTCCACAGCCTGCAGTTCAGCGTCTTAACCACTTGAGCCACTGCAGCTCCCTCCCTCCCTACATATTTATAAAATACTGATGACTCATAGAACTCAGTTGATATTTATAAAATACTGATGACTGATAGAACTCAGTTTGGGAACTGGCATTAATAGAGGAAATTTATATTCCATTTAACATTAAGCCTACCTACCTATCATCTCCCTACCTACCTACCTATTTATAAAATACTGATGACTGGTAGAACTTAATTTGGGAACTGGCATTAATAGAGAAATTTACATTCCAGTTAATATTAATCCTACCTACCTACCTATTTATAAAATACTGATGACTGGTAGAACTTAATTTGGGAACTGGCATTAATAGAGAAATTTACATTCCAGTTAACATTAAGCCTATCTATCCGTTTGTCTGTCTGTCTACCTACTGAAGGATTTGTGTTGCCCAGAGGGTCGAGAGATATCAGAAACTCCTTCTACATATGAAATATCTGAAATGTCTAGACTAGTGGTCCCCAACTTTTTGAGCCTGCAGTCACCTTTGGAATTCTGACACAGCACAGTGGGCGCGGTCACAAAATGGCCTTCAGTGAAGGTCTTTGCACTGTGGTTGCATCTGCTGCCAATGCAACATTTTAAAAAACCTGCACAGCCAGTCAGAAACCTTGCTCAGCAAAAGCCCCACCTTCCCCACCCACTTTCTAAAAATACTTGGTAGGTACACCATGTTGGGGACCCCAGCTATAGACCCTCTGGGCAACACAGATCTTTCAGAATAAAAATGGAAAATAAGGTCAATAATAAGCTTTCTTTCTACTGGGTCCGCCCACTGATCTCTCAAGGTCAACACTGCCCACTCTGACCACCAGAGTTCTCCAGATGAGCCTGGGACTTACCCGGATACCTGCGGTGCGACACTTCATGACGGCGTCAGGAACGGTGGCTCTTGGCGGATCTATCATGGAGATGAGGCCTGCGAAGCAAAGCCCGCTGGTGGGGAAGTTCATCTCTTCACCGTCAAAGTTATAACCACGTGGAAACTCACTCTGGGGAAGATACAGGTGACAGAAGCCTGTGGTCGACAGAGAAGAAAAAGAAATAGTGTTGGTTTTATACCTGAGAGAACTGTGACTGACCCAAGGTCGCCCAGCAGGCCTCATGTGTCTCAAAGTGGCTTACAATCACCCTCCCTTCCTCTCCCCACAACAAGCACCCTGTGAGGTAGGTGGGGCTGAGAGAGCTCTGAGGGAACTGTGACTGGCCCAAGGTCACCCAGCAGGCCTCATGTGTCTCAAAGCGGCTTATGCTCTCCTTCCCTTCCTCTCCTCACAACAGGCACCCTGTGAGGCAGGTGGGGCTGAGAGAGCTCTTTCGAGGACTGCCCTTGAGAGAACAGCTCTCAGAGGACTGTGATTGGCCCAAGGTCACCCAACTGGCTGCATGTGGAGAAGTGGGGAATCAAACCCGGCTCTCCCAGATTAGAGTCCACTGCTCCTAGCCACTATACAACTCTGGCTCTCAGCAAAAGCAAATCAAGGGGAGCACCATGACTTATAAAACCAACGCAGACCTCCCATAGTTCCTACCTAACGTGCCACAATCTCTTGGCCTTCCATGCTCTACCTGGACACAGCATCCTACAGGCTTGCCGGGACCCCGTCTATCTGCAGCTCAGCGTTTTGCCTTTACAAGGTCCCAGCTTCAGCTCTCTGGCGTTGTTCCCCCTTACCAAGGACACGCTCGCCCAGGCCTCCTAGATCCATGTAAGCCGTCTGGAAGGCCTCCTTCCACTGCTCATCCAGAGGCAACTCCTGGCCCTTGATCATGATGGTGGAGCAGCGCTCCAGGATGCGTTCGGGAGCTCCCTTCATCACCAGCAGGTAGCGCTGGTCCCGGGGGTCATCCAGCTCGTGGACGGACAGCTGTAGAGGGGAGGGGGGAGCAAAGGAATCATAAAAAGGACTAGGTCGAAAATATTTTACTCAGCAAGATTAAACATTTGCATTGACGTTAATGGCTATTTGGTTACGCTATCGCACAGGTGCCATTCCGAAGACGAGAAAAGATATTATAGCAGCTAAATCCCTAGGAGGGTATCAATAGAAAACTAATAAATATCTAGGGGTCATTTCCTGCAGGAACGCACAGGAGCGGAGCTCCGGCAGTAAAGAGCCCAGGGGGCGGGCACATGCAACAAGCCCCACCCCCTGCTCCCAGCAGACCTCAGTCAGAGCAAGAAGCAGCCAGGTAAGTTGCAGAGCCCCCTGGCCCCAAACAGTCCAGTGGCACCTTTAAGCCCAAGTTTTATTCAGGTACAAGCTCTCCCTCCTCTGAGAGGACAGATCTGCACGTCCCCCCCCTCCTCCCCAATAGCTAGCAATCCAAAACAGTCCAGTGGAGCCTGAGCGGTGGGTGTTGCCTTCTGACACACTTCCGGTGATGTCAGGGGGTGTGGCATATGCAAATAAGTTATGCTAATGAGTTATGCTAATAAGCTCCTGCAACTCTTTTTCTACGAAATGACCCCTGTAAATATCCCTCAAAAACTAATAAACTCCGCAACCAACCCCCAGCGGCTTGTGGGATTTAAAATCTCCTCCACCATCTTGGGACGTGTATTGTTTTTATTTCCTGATATATTACAGGCATTTTAGCGTTGGTTTTAACTGTATCATTTATTGTGTCTGTTTTTGTGGTGAGCTGTCCTGAGCTCTGTTTGCAAGGAAGGGGGGCCTAGCAAATCTAACTTAATAAACAAACAAGCAAGCAAACAAACCAAAGGCTAAATGAAATCTGATAATATTTGAATATTTAGCTATGGGGCGGGGATCTCTAACCGAATTTTAGCTGCCGAAAACCCATTACACAAATCAAATTTCTGGGAAGAAATGGTTCCCTTTCTTTGAGTTTGTCGGAAAACAAATAAGAAAATAAAACACTCGATACCTGGAAAATGCAGAACACTAGCTTTTTATTGGTAGTGATTATGTGGCATGTACTGTCTTTTTTATGGTCATTGTATGTGTTTCATGTTAATGTTTAGAGTTGTATGAACATTTTGTGTTATGTAAAGATTCTAAAAAATAAAAAGTTATTTAAAAATTTTTATTCATTAGGCACTCTTCATCTGGCAGTAAATCCCAGTGTCACAGAACTGCGGTCTGCTCTGAATATACAGCAAATGAACTGTGGCACTCCAATATACAGGTGCCATATCACTATTATTTGCAGGCTCTTGTTTCTTTGTTTTTTTAAGCCTCCCTGCCAGTTAAAAAAAGAACACATTAGGGAGGAAGAAGGGGAGGAGGAGGAGGAGATTGGATTTATACTTCACTCGGAGTCTCAGAGCAGTTTACAATATCCTTCCCTTCCTCTCTCCACAATAGACACTCTGTGAGGTTGTGGGGCAGAAAGAGTTATTTCAAGGACTGCTCTTGAGAGAACAGCTCTGAGAGAATTTGTGACTGACCCAAGGTCATCCAGCTGGCTGCATGTGGAGGAGTGGGGAATCAAACCCGGTTCTCCCAGAGAATCTGGAGAAAGCTTTCAGGACAGTCTGTTCGCTATGGAGCTGCTTTTCTAATTGCAGGTAGGGCTTTTCCCCCCCATCTCCAGGTCAGAAGATGGAACTCCTGGGTCGGGAGTCATTATGGAGCAACTAGTTTGCCGTCCTGAGCTCATTGGGGACAGCGCAGACATTGCAGACAGAATGTCCCTGCTTCAGGTCCTGGCATCTCAGGTTACCCCAGGTTTCAAGGCAGGGAAAGGAATGTCTGGAGGTCACAGTCCTTAGGACCAGCTGGCTGCATGTGGAGGAGTGGGGAATCAAACCCGGTTCTCCCAGAGAATCTGGAGAAAAGCTTTCAGGACAGTCTGCTCGCTATGGAGCTACTTTTCTAATTGCAGGTAGGGTTTCCCCCCCATCTCCAGGTCAGAAGTTGGAACTCCTGGGTTGGGAGTCATTATGGATCTACTAGTTTGCTGTCCTGAGCTCAGCGGGGACAGCGCAGGCATTGCAGACAGAATGTCCCTGCTTCAGTTCCTGGCATCTCAAGTTACCCCAGGTTTCAAGGCAGGGAAAGGAATGTCTGGAGGTCACAGTCCTCAGGAAATTAGAGGAGCAACCTTTCTGAGCCAGCGAGCACCTGGGGAATTCTGACATAGAGTTGTGGGAGCCACCATGAAATAGCTGCCGCAGGAGGCAGAACCAACCACACAAAGGAAGCCCAAGTGTGGAGCAGAAGAGGGGCAATTTTAATTGCAGACGGAGAAAGAGGAATGAGAAAATATAACCCAACGCTGGGGCAGCAGCTGCCAAGGAAATGTTCTTTTAACATGTCCAGCCAATTGGAACGCCAGAGACCAATCAGAAGCCCTGCTGGGTGAAAGCCCCTGCTGGCCCCACCCACTTTCTAAAAAAAAACTTGGGGGCCCCCAAGCGAGGTGTTTGCGGGCACGATGGTTCCCACGGGCGCCGCCTTGGGGCCCCCTGCAACAGGCTGTTTCATTTGAAAGTGGTCTTTCCTCTCTTTCCTCAGTTAAAGGCCACTGGACTGGAGAAGGGTCTCCATCAGGGGCGGGGGCTCATTCTGCCCTCTGGAGCCCAGGGGACGAGAGGCTGGCCGGCTGACCTGGAATTCTTTTAACATGTCCAGCCAATTGGAACGCCAGAGACCAATCAGAAGCCCTGCTGGGTGAAAGCCCCTGCTGGCCCCACCCACTTTCTAAAAAAAACTTGGGGGCCCCCAAGCGAGGTGTTTGCGGGCATGATGGTTCCCACGGGCGCCAGCTTGGGGACCCCTGCAACCGGCTGTTTCATTTGAAAGTGGCCTTTCCTCTCTTTCCTCAGTTAAAGGCCAGTGGACTGGAGAAGGGTCTCCATCATTCTGCCCTCTGGAGCCCAGGGGACGAGAGGCTGGCCGGCTGACCTGGAACTTGTTGGTGGAGTTGAAGGGGATCTCGCAGGCTTTTTTGAAGCGCTCCCGGTACTCCATCACGTTGCCCAGGGTGATCTCGGAGAACTTCAACAGGGCTGTCTCCGAGGCATCTCCAATCACAATCCGCTGGGGGTGGAAGGAGGAGTGGAAAAAAACAGAAGCAGGATTTTTTCAGGAATGAGGTCACAGAGCCAGATTCGGGAGGGGAAAACCTCGCAAGCCTTGGGCAGGGCTGAAGGATAATCCTGTACCTACAACCTCATGAGTCACACAAGTAAAATGTCTGTTTTCATTTCTGAAATGACAGTATCATGGAATTAAGACTCACAGCCTTGGACCCTGGCAAAGTGGGCCTTTCTCCCTTGGCAGAATGAAGAAGAAGAGATTGGATTCATACCCCACCCTTCACTACCCGAAGGAGTCTCAGAGCGGCTTACAATCTCCTTTCCTTTCTTCTCCCCACAACAGACACCTTGTGAGGTAGGCGGGGCTGAGAGAGCTCTGACACAAACTGCTCCTGAGAGAACAGCTCCGAGAGAACTATGATTGACCCAAGGTCACACCAGCAGCTGCGTGTGGAGGAGTGGGGAATCAAACCCGGTTCTCCCAGATTAGAGCCCACACTCCTCACCACTACACCAAACTGGCTCTCTGCCTGGGCCCTGGAGTTAGGATCTTTAGCGATGGCAGAGGGCATCATCTCTGGACAAATAACTGGCAAATAACTGGCTGGAGAGAGCAGTGCCTCTGAGCATGTTACCATCCACCGCCTAACATACATACACCAGTGCTCTCAAGTCACAGCCAACGTATGGCAATCCCAGCAAGGGGCTTTATCAAGGCAAGAGAGAAGCAGAGGTGGGTTGCCATTGCCTTCCTCTGCAAGGTCTGCTTTGGTCGTCTCCCTTCCAAGTACCGACCCTGCTTTGCTTCTGATGAGATCGGGATATATAATGCTGCCTTCCCACTGCCTAAGATACAGATGCCCACATGTTTACCCCATGGTGTAAACGGTGACTCTCAGGGGCAGAAAAGGAGGAAACAGTGCAGGGGGGAGTATTCAGCCCTCTTGCTCTTACACCAGAGCTGAGCCCTCCATACGCCTGATCATTGCATTTTTTTTTTAAAGAAGAGGACATAAGAATATAAGAAGAGCCCTGCTGGATCAGACGAATAGTTCATCTAGTCCTGCCTCCTGTCTCACCTAGTGGACACCCAGCTCCTCTGGAAGGCCAACAACAGGGCATAGAGGCCGAGGCCTTCCCCTGATGCTGCCTCCTGGCTCTGGGATTCAGAGGTTTAGTGCCTCTGAATGTGGAGGTTCCCCTCAGTCACCGTGGCTAGTAGCCATCGATAGACTTATCCTCCACGAATCTATCTCATCCCCTTTTAAAACTGTCTGTTCCTGGGGCCATCACGACACCCGCCGGCAGTGAATTCCACATATTAATCACCCTCTGTGATTAAAAAAAGTTGGGAACTCCAGATGGCCATAAATCCACATTCCACTAGGATTATGCGAAGGATACAGAATGCTGTGGATTCTTTTATATGATGGGGTTTTTTTTGTATTTTTCATATGTGTGTGTTTGTTTGTGTGTGTGCACCTGGAAGTCATGGTGACCTCTGATGACTGACCCCTACTGGGGGCCTGGAAGATATTCAGAGAGGTGGCTGAGTAAAGCCTGCCCCCGCCTTCTGCCTCTGGTATTCCAAGGAGGTCTCCCATCCAAGTACTTGTCAGAGTTGACCCTGCTCAGCTTTCAAGATCGGACGAGATCGGGCTTGCCTGGACTATCCAGGTCAGGGCCTTGTCCTGCTGTTTTAACACTGTCAGTGGAGTAAGCCAAACTCTTCTTTCTGGGACTCGCTTGCACCATCCAAGGACGAGGGCTTAAACTGCTGTCCCTGAAGATGACCCTTCTACAAAGCGAAGCTCTTTAGCATAATGTCAACATGAGAAGAGTTACAGCAACCCTAAACCAAACCATGCACAAAGCTACGTCAGATGTCTTTTGAGACTGGACCTTTAATAACTGTAATAGATCTCCACGCATCCTCAGTCTTCATTACCTTTGGCACAGGTACGCTGTCCTGGCCGGACTTGAAAAAAGCACGGTTGCAGAGGCTGACCACCTTGCACAGAGCTCTCCATGTCTCGGACGACTGATCAAAAGTCTGACCTGAAAGGTACACAGAGAGAGCGAGAGAGCGCGATGGAGTAACTGAATCTGAGCTCGAGGCACACACAGCTTTTCTTCTCTGCAGCTGGAGACAGGTCAGGCACTGTAACATAAAACCCTAAAACTTACTAAAGCTCGTCAAGAGTGTCTGGGATCATGGACCCCTGGAGATTCCGTTAGAATGAGCCATTCACTTCCATTCCACATTGGACCATCCTGGGAGAACTAATCCCTTTTGGACAAAGGACAATCTGGTTTGGACCAGACCATCTACCATAACAGAAATTATGGTCAGTTTAGAGCGAAGAAAGAGAAGAAGAGATTGGATTTATACCCTGCCCTTCACTCCTGTAGGAGTCTCAGAGCGGTTTACAATCTCCTTTCCCTTCCCCTCCCCACAACAGAGACCCTGTGAGGTAGGTGGGGCTGAGAGAGCTCTTTCGAGAACTGCTCCTGAGAGAACAGCTCCGAGAGAACTTGTGACTGACCCAAGGTCACATCAGCAGCTGCATGTGGAGGCGTGAGGAATCAAGCCCGGTTCTCCCAGATTAGAGTCTGCGCTCCCAACCACTACACCAGACTGGGTGTGGCACAGGGTGGGATGCTAGGCCTGGGGAGTCTTGAGTTCAAATCCCCACCCCGGTCACAAATTTTACTAGGTTAGCTTGGAACAGTCACAGTCCGTTTTACCTACCTTTCAGGATTTTTGTGAGAAAAAAAATAGAACACGGGTGAACCATGTGTGCCAAGACCTGAGCTCTTGAGAGGAAAGGTATGATAAAACTGTAACACACTGATAAGCAAACTTTGGGGGTTATACAATCATGGGATATCCCTAAAGGGAGAAGTCTTTCCCAGGTCACTCCGTAGCAAGTGGTCTCTAAAGAAACCTCTTAAGGGCTCTTTTTGTAGAAAAAGCCCAGCAGGAACTCATTAGCATAATAGGTCACACCCAACAGCAGGAACTCATTAGCATATTGGGTCACACCCCTGACAGCACAGCTTATTAGCACATTAGGCCACACCCCCATGTTACCAGAAGTGTGGTTATCCAGCCACACCCACCTTTTGCTTCTCATTCTGTTTACTTTGTTTGTTGTCCAAACCCAGGGCTTTTTTGTAGCAGGAACTCCTTTGCATGTTAGGCCACACACCCCTAATGTAGCCAATCCTAATGAGTTTCTGCTGTTGGGTGTGGCCTATTATGCTAATGAGTTCCTGCTGGGTGTGGCCAACTCGGGAGCCGGCCGGAACTCTGTTCCTGTGCGTTCCTGCCCAAAAATAGCCCTGCAGTCTTAATGTTATTGAGGGTGTTCTCCTGGACAGGGAAAAGCTTAATTCCCCGCCCTCTGCTCTGCAGTCCAAATCCAAATTCGGCCCCCTTGTACCTGATCTTTAGAGACAAGGAAACACCAGGAGTTCCATTCACAGAACTTCTGATGTCTTGTCGGTCCGAGCCCATGAAACAGCCTTGAGATGGATTCATTCCACTCTGCCCTAAGATCTCCCAGGCGCTCCCCTTTCCAAGGTGCAACTGTTTCCATCGTGAAACGTGGCTGATGGTAAATGTGACTCCATACCTGACTGGTCCTCTGTGGTATCGGCGGTGTGGATCTGATTGTCAAACCAAAGGTGGGAGACCGTCATGCGGTTCTGGGTGAGGGTCCCCGTTTTGTCTGAGCAAATGACAGACGTGGAACCGAGAGTCTCTACGGCTTCCAAGTTCTTTACCACGCAGTTTTTCCGGGCCAGGCGTTTGGCTGTGAGGGAAAGACAGACCTGCCCGGGCAAAATAAGAGAAAGACAGATCTGTGTACAAAACCTCAATTGTATCTGGAGTGAGCCTAACTTGATTTATACTAATTAGCTAACAAGATTTGCCTTTGGACCTTTTGCAGTTGAAAGCTTCAGTTGTTGGGATTTATGCTTCTTACTGGCTGTCAGCCTTACGGGAGGAGTCATGCCAGAAACAAAGATGGCAACCCTATAAGCAAAGATAAGCTATCCTAGTTTTCTGCCAGATACAAAGATGGCAACCCTACTCTTTTGCCAGAAACAAAAGTAGCATTTGGTTGAGGACAGCGACAGGACAGTATAAAATCTGCCACTCTCTCTCACACACACCCTCCATGAACCCTTACCCCCCAAGCAGCTTCTGGAAATTAAAATCTCTCTTCCGTCATCTTGGGAAGTGTATTATTTGCTGATATAGGTATTTTAACATAGGTTTTAAGTTGCATTTTTTATTGTATTTGCCCTGTTGTAAGCCACTCTGAGCCCTGTGTGCAGGGAAGGACGGTCTAATAATAAATCTAATATAATAAATAAATAAATAATCCTTTTCAGTCACAACCCAATTATGAGGCCTTGAAGCAATCCGCCCTCATTTGTTTACAATACTGGAATACTGGCCCATTTCAGGCTAGTGTTTGTTATTACTGGAATGGGCTTTAAATAATATTAGGATAAGGCAGAATGTCCAGGCAGTAGAGTGCTTGTTGCCTAGAGAGTATGATTACTCACGGTCACAGTTGCGAGCAGACCTTCAGGGACATAAGCTACCACAATGGCCATGAAGAAGACCATGGCCTTGAGGAAGGGATAACCGATCACCATAGCAACGACAAAAAAGGTGGCACCGAAGAAGATGGCCAGGCCGGCGATGATGTCGACAAAGTGCTCGATCTCAATGGCGATGGGCGTTTTCTCGTTCTCCACACCCGAGGCCAGGCTGGCGATGCGCCCAATGATCGTGCGGTCTCCAGTGTTGATTATAATACCAGTGGCCGTGCCTGAGAGGGCGCGAGGAGACAATATAGCCAGTATTTAACTTAGCCTCTGTGAAGGCATGTATAGATGGCCACGCCTCTCTGAGATCATCCTGTGGACTTTACACAGGCCCATGCAGTTCTCTGTTAAGCTACATGGATCAGCTGGAATCCGTAGGGGTGAAGCCCCTAAAACCTTCTAAATTTTCCTCCAAGGCTTGCCAGAGACAACCAACGGGCCCTCCCCACTTTCATCTGGGCAGGGAAGAGGGCCGGGAACCATTCCTGTTGGCAGCAGATGATAGGACTTGCAATAATGGGTTTAAATTAAGGGCAGGAAGATTCCCGCTGGATACCTTGTGCTTCGTTTGATGCTGCGTTTTAACTTATATTTACATGTGCACTGTTTGTTTTTTATCTGTTCACAAATTTTTTATGTAAGCCGCCCTGAGCCTGGTTTGGCAGGGAGGGCGGGGTATAAATTAAAATAAATAAATAAATATTAGGAAATCCTTTTTGACAGTAAGAGTTGTGCAGCAGTGGAATCAGCTGCCTGGGGAGGTGGTGAGCTCCCACTCACTGGCAGTCTTCGAGCAGTGGCTGGACAAACACTTGTCAGCAGTGGCCGTTTCGTAGAAAAAGAGCTAGGGGAACTCATTAGCATAACTCATTAGCATATGCCACACCCCCTGACATCATAAAGCCCGGCAGTGGACCTGCAAGGCTGGCAGGAGTGTGAGAAAGCCCCACCAAGGCCCTCCCTGGCCCCAGGCAGGCAGGGGTGGGGAGAGGCGGGGAGGAAGCAACTTACCCTCCCTCTTCTCCTGCCTCCTCCTGGCTGAATGAGGGCCGGAAGCGGGGTGGCCGGAAGCAGGGGGTGTGGCTTCGTCGTGTGCCCCGCTCCCCACACCTCACCTGGGGGAACTGTGATCCCCCGCGATCCCCCCCGAAATGACCTCTGCTTGTCAGGGATACCCTAGGCTGATCCTGCATAGAGGTGGGGGTTGGACTAGATGGCCTGTCTGGCCCCTTCCGACTCTGTGGTTCTGTGATTCTATTATTCTCTCTCAGCATGGGAGAGATTGTTGTCAACTACTAGGTGGGGCAGGGTTGCTAACCTTCAGGTGACAGAGATCCGTTCCCTTGGAGAAAATGGATGCTTTGGAGGGTGGAGTGTATGACACCATTCCCCACCGAGGTCCCTCCCCTCCCCAAATGCCACCCTTCTCATGCCCCACCCCCAAAATCTCCAGGTATTTCCCAACCTGGAGATGGCTCGGAGAGCTCTCCCAGAATTACAACTGATATCTGGACTACAGAGATCAACTCTCCTGGAGGAAATGGCTCCTTTGCAGGGTGGACTTGATGGAATGACGACCTGCTGAGTGCCGTCTCCTCCCTAAAGCCCATCCTCCCCAGGGTCCACCCTCCAAGTCTCCAAGAACTTCCCAACTCATTGCTGGCAACCTCAACAGGAGACCTCTCCACCCTACCTTCCAGGCACATAGTGGAGAAGAAGGCAATGTTCCTGGTTTCCAGGGGGCTCTCGTGCGTGCACTCCGGGGATCTGGTCTGGGGCTCCGATTCCCCTGTCAAAGAGGAATTATCCACCTGAGAGAAAGAAAGAGAGAGGTGAACGTTCGTACGTGCAGCGTGCCATTCGAAATCAAGCTATGGGAGGGCAGCCGTTCGGGAGAACGAACTTTCCATGTGGTTCGTGGAGCGAAGCCTAGAGATGGGAGTGGAGTAAGAGGAAGTCCTCCTTTAAGCTCCTCCAACCACTGATGGGGCTTCAATGAGTGTGCAGGAGTCACGTTCTTCCCCAGGAGCAGAGTTGCCAACATCCAGGTGGGAGCTGGAGATCTCCTGGAATTACGACAGAGGTCCGTTCCCTTGAAGAAAAGGGTTGCTTTGGAGGGTGGACTCTATGGTATTATACCCTGCAGAGGTCCCCCCCCCTCCCCAGACCCTGACTTCTGTAGCCTCCACTCCCAAATCTCTAGGAATTTCCCAGCCCAGAGTTGGCAACCCTACCCGGGAGAGGTTGTGTGGTTGTGTGCATGCATACAGCCACAATATGTTTAGTGATGAGGTGGGTGGTCACCGGAGGGTATCTTGTCCAGGTCCCTGCAAAACGTGGGGACTTTTTATGGGTGCTGCTGAAGGTCTATTCCAGGGGTCCCCAGCCTTTCCAAGCCTGCGAGCACCTTTGGAATTCTGACACAGGGTGGTGGGGGCACACCCATAAAATGGCTGCCACAGGAGGTGGAGCCAGTCACAAAATGGCTGCTGCAGGAGGTGGAGCCAACCACAAAAAGAGTCAGGGATCAAGGCTACATATAACTCTAATAGTAACTCCTCAACATTTTGGGCATAAGTGCTGCCTTTTAATCTGCACAGCCAGTCAGAAGCCCAGCTAGGCAAAAGCCCCATCTAGCCCATCCCACTGTCTAGAAGCACTCGACAGGTGCCATGGTGCCCACGGGCACTACTTGGGGGACCCCTGGTTTATTCTCTCCTTATGCCCATCCCCACATTCCAATGATTCTCTTTCTGCCTGGCAAACAAGACTGTCTTAATAGCTTTCTCCAGCAGAGGTCAGCAGTGGCACATTTTTCTTCAGCTTTCGGAAGAGGCGGCTGATCACTCCTTTCCCCACAGGTGTGTTTTAGGTACCTTGCATCCTTGCCCAGTGATGATCCTGATGTCTGCTGGAACTCGGTCTCCCCCTTTGATCTCCACTAGGTCGCCCACCACCAGCTGATTGGCGTTTATCTGGAACTTGTCCCCGTCTCGAATCACCGTGGCTTGCTGTGATTGGGAGAAGCAAAAATCAGGCTTGGCGCTCTAAAGTCGATTGATGTTTGATGACGTGCAACTAGCTGTGGCAAAGAACCATGCAAAAAAGAAGAGTAGGACAAGAGGCCAGTGTGGGGTAGTGGTTAGAGTGTTGGACTAGGATTTCAGAGGTCCCGGTTCGAATCCGTGCTCTGCCATGGAAGCTCTCTTGGCCTGAATTACCCTACAGGGTTATTGTTGGGAGGAGAAAATGGAGACAAGGTGGAAAGTGTCCAGAGGAAGGCAACGAAGATAGTGAGGGGTCTGGAGACCAAGTCCTATGAGGAAAAGTTGAAGGAGCTGGGTATGTTTAGCCTGGGGAGGAGATAACTGAGAGGTGATACGATAACCATCTTCAAGCACTTGAAGGGCTGTCATATAGAGGATGGTGCAGAGTTGTTTTCTGTTGCCCCAGAAGGTCGGACCAGAACCAACGGGTTGCAATTAAATCAAAGGAGTTTTCCAAACAGAGGCTGGATGGCCATCTGACAGCAATGCGGATTCTGTGAACTTAGGCACATCATGAGAGGGAGGGCAGGAAGGGTTGCCTCAGTGCTTAGTTCCTGTGGCCCTTTCTTACACACCCAGGGAAATGCTGATTGCCACTTTGGGGTCAGGAAGCAATTTTTCTCCAGGCCAGTTTGGCCAGGGATCCTGGAGTTTTTTTGTCATCTTCTGGGCATGGAACAGCAGTTACTGGGGGTGTGTGTGGGGGGAGGTAGCTGTGAATTTCCTGTACTGTGCGGGGGGTTGGACTAGATGACCCTGGAGGTCCCTTCCAACTCTACGATTCTATGATTAAATGACTTTGGATACCCATTTGGGAGCAAAGGAGGATATAGAGATCTCAATGCATGCATACATGGATGCAGACGACCACCTGCAAAGCAGATTTAGACCCCCGTAACGGTTGTGCCAAAGAGGAAATGTCATATATGATTAATCCCTTCCTTATTACAGGGCTGGCCGCCTTGTCGAGGAGCATGCAGGAAACCGCAGAGAGAAGTGCCAGCTTCCTGCCTCCAGTCCCCCTCTTCCTCTATGTGATCAACCCGCCACCGTTTTATTATCTTGACTGCATCATCCTGCTAAGTGGCTTTTATCGTGCATCGAATACACGTGTGTGGCACACTGTGTGATGGATCATGCAGTTAAAAAGGACATCTGTGTGGGCTCTGTGCCGTTAAAAGATTGCTTCTAGACATGGAAACCACCAAGGTCAACACTGTCTGCGTAAGTTAACGGCCCTTGTCCAAGTTCCCACCTCTACACAGGTACAACAAAAACATTTAACTTTCTCCCAGCTTTTCTATTCAGTGAAAAGCAGTCTCAGGAGGCTGTACATTGGGCTGGAGGGCTGGTGGAATGGAGGGGGAAGAGTGATGGTAAGCCTTTCTCCTTTCACACACTCTCAAAAGTGAAGTCTCCCGACTGGGTAAAAGAAACAGGGTTCTTGAAGGTCGTTAGGTATCTGCCTCCCCACTTGGCATTCCAGTGGCAGCCTCCCAAGGCTGCTTTTCAATTTGAAAAGGGGGGGGGAGAGATGACACATGTCTGTGTCCTTAATGGTCAGGGTCCAGCATATCTCTGAAACTGCCAGTCCTGGTACGTCCCCCGTAGAGTGTCATACTGAAGTGATCAAAATCTACTGGTGGGCCTCAGCCCAAAGAGCGTCCTGCTCTCCTCGACCAGGCCGAAAAGGCCCTAGCTGCAGCCTGGTGGAACTGTCTTCCAGGAGAGAGCAGGGCCCTGCGGGATCTGGTACAATTCCGCAGGGCTGTCGGAACCCACAGCCAACAACGCAGTACACGCATTCAGGAATGGTTATACTTTTATTGCAGAGCTATAGACGCAGTAACATAGGCACTGTTAAGAATGGCGGCGGCCCCATGGGCATAATAGGATATAGGGCATTTGTATGCACCCCCCCCAGTACTGGCCAATTAGGCGGCCTCCCGCACGCGGGCTAAGGCTTACAGACTGTTAGGTAGCTGAAGCTGAGAACTAATACTCTCCCACGGCACCTAATGAAATCCCAGACACTACAACACCCTCCTGCACATCTGTATAGATAAGCGTTTCGGCGCATAGCAGAAAAAGCCCAGAAAGGAATGCAATAGCAATTAACCTGAAAGGAAAGCAATAGCAATTAACCAGACACAGACCAACCTCCCCAACTTTCATGGCAGCATAGCTGACAAGGGCCTGCAAAACAGAGGTGTTCCACCAGGCCTATGGTTGATGGCAGTAGTGGACCTCCAGCCGATAGGCTACAGTTAGTTCCGCCCTCCTCCCCCCCTGCTTCCCCCTTCCCTTCCCTTCTATATATATATTGCCCCTTTGTGTGATTTTTTTATGCCCTCTTAAATTCTGCAGTAAATGTCTCTTTGATTTTTGAGCTTATTGTTGTTTCTTAGAAGGTGTTAAAAGGTTTCAAATTGTATATCTATAAATTGTTGTCACCCACTCTGAACCGGTTCCGGGGAGAGCGGCTTATAAATCGAATCAAATAAATAAAATGTGAGGCGATCTGGTACACTGCAGTCTTCAGGAGCAGAAGACCCAGCCCTTCAGGTACCTCCTTACCTGTGGCACAAGGTTCTTAAAGCTTGCAATGATGTTGGTGCTTTTGAATTCCTGGTAGTAACCAAAGCAGCCAGTCACAACCACCACCGCGATGAGGGCGACAGCCAAATACAGCTATGGAGACAGGAGGAGAAAAAAAAAGGGGGCGGAAGTAAAAGTTGCTGCTGATCTCCTTGTTGTCCTCCTAAGCAGGGCTATTTTTGGGCAGGAACGCACAGGAACGGAGTTCCGGCTGGCTCCCGAGTTGGCCACGCCCAGCAGGAACTCATTAGCATAACAGGCCACACCCAGCAGCAGAAACTCATTCGGATTGGCTACATTAGGGGTGTGTGGCCTAACATGCAAAGGAGTTCCTGCTACAAAAAAAGGCCTGGGTTTTGACAACAAACAAGGTAAACAGAATAAGAAGGGAAAGGTGGGTGTGGCTGGATGAGCACACTTCTGGTAACATGGGGGTGTGGCCTAATGCGCTAATGAGCTGTGCTGTCAGGGGGTGTGGCCTAATATGCTAATGAGTTTCTGATGTTGGGTGTGGCCTGTTATGCTAATGAGTTCCTGCTGGGCTTTTTCTACAAAAAGAGCCCTGCGTCCTGAGCAATACCCTTGTAAACACAGAGGACAGGAAAGTCACCATAGCCTGTCCCTCTGGAGCCTCTAACCCAGGGGGTTATCCCAGGGGTCTTGTTGAACCAGTAGGCACTTTGGGAACACTGAGAACAGGTAGTAGGCACTGCAACAAAATGGCTTCTGTGGGGGCTGGGTCCAAGCACAAAATGTTGGGAGGTTCCAGTCCAAGCACTCTCCTGGGATGGACACAGCTGTTTCCGCATGGGTGCTACAGAGATAATACCTCTTAGGCCCTTAGACTTAGGAGAACCAGTTTGGTGTAGTGGCTAAGAGCACGGACTCTAATCCAGGAGAATCTGGGAGACCCAGGTATGATCCCCCCGCTCCTCCACACGCAGCTGCTGGTGTGACCTTGGGTCAGTCACAAGTTCTTTCAGAGCTGTTCTCTCAAGGGCTTCTCGAGAGCTCTCTCAGCCCCACCTACCTCACAGGGTGTCTGTTGTGGGGAGGGGAAGGGAAAGGGGTTATAAACCACTCTGAGACTCCTTCGGGTCGTGAAGGGCAGGGGGCATAAAACCAATCTCCTCTTCTTCTTCCTATTCCAATGAAAGCCAGAATTGGCTTTTTGCTTTGGGGGGAGAGATGCTCCAGGGGAGAAGCAAGTGGGCACCAGGAAATGTAATGGTAGATGCAATGGTGTCCTTGGGAATGCATCACTCATCTAACTTGATGGACTTACGTACAGGGCTATTTTTGGGCAGGAACGCACAGGAACGGAGTTCCGGCTGGCTCCCGATGGAGCCTCTAACCCAGGGGGTTAACCCAGGGGTCTTGTTGAACCAGTAGGCACTTTGGGAACACTGAGAACAGGTAGTAGGCACTGCAACAAAATGGCTTCTGTGGGGGCTGGGTCCAAGCACAAAATGTTGGGAGGTTCCAGTCCAAGCCCTCTCCTGGGATGGACACAGCTGTGTCCGCATGGGTGCTACAAAGATAATACCTCTTAGGCTCTTAGGCTTAGGAGAGCCGGTTTGGTGTAGTGGTTAAGAGCACGGACTCTAATCCAGGAGAATCTGGGGGAACCAGGTATGATTATGCTAACAAGTTCCTGCTGGGCGTTTTCTACAAAAAAACCCCTGCTTACGTATGTACACAAGGGCTGTCAAGTTGCAGCTGACTTATGGTGAGAACCGCAGCAAGGGGCTTTCGGGGCAGCTGAGAAGCTGTGGTGGTCTGCCACTGCCTTCTTCTGGAGATTCTTCCTGGATGGTCTCCCATCCAACTACCAGCCCTACTTAGCTCCCAAGATCTGAGGAGACTGGGCTATGCCAGGCCACCTTCCCCAGAGGTCACTTCTTGTGAATATTCACTCCTCCTAGCATCTGTTAGTACTCACGTTGTCGGCGCTGGTGAGATCCCCTTGTCCGCACTGGATGCCAAAGGCAATGAGGCAGATCCCCTAATGTAGCCAATCCTCCAAGAGCTTGCAGAGCTCTTCTTACAGGAACTACTGTAAGCTCTTGGAGGACTGGCTACATTAGGGGTGTGTCACTTAATATGCAAATGACTACCTGCTACAAAAAGAGCCCTGTTAGATGCAATGGTGTCCTTGGGAATGCATTGCTCATCTAACTTGATGGACTTACGTATGTACACGAGTGCTGTCAAGTGGCAGCTGACTTATGGTGAGAGCCGCAGCAAGGGGCTTTCGAGGCGACTGAGAAGCCGTGGTGGCCTGCCATTGCCTTCTTCTGGAGATTCTTCCTGGATGGTCTCCCATCCAACTACCAACCCTACTTAGCTCCCAACATCTGAGGAGACTGAGCTATGCTATGCCACCTTCCCTCCCCAGAGGTCAGTTCTTGTGAACATTCACTCCTCCTAGCATCCGTTAGTACTCACGTTGTCGGCGCTGGTGAGATCCCCTTGTCCGCACTGGAATCCAAAACAGTCCAGTGGAACCTGAGCGGTGGGTGTTGCCTTCTGACACACTTCCAGTGATGTCAGGGGGTGTGGCATATGCAAATGACTTATGCTAATAAGTTATGCTAATGAGCTCCTGCACCTCTTTTTCTACGGAATGACCCCTGGTCGCCATGATGTGTGACATCACATCCAGTTACGTGACCAGAAGTAGTATTGCGGTGTTGGCTGCAAAGTTAGTTTTGGCCGCACGATTTCTCCCTCTGATGCATGGCACCATCTAGGGGTGCCAATCTCCAGGTGGGGCCCAAAGATCTCCTTCTATCACAACTGGCCTCCAGAGGACGGCGATCGGCTCCCCTGCTTTGGAGGGTGGACTTCATGGAACTGCACCATGCCCCTTCCCAAATTCTAGCCCCCAAATTTCCAGGTATCTCCCAGTCCAGGGCTGCCAACCCTAACGATGGCCTCCTTCAGATATGAGCACAGCAAGATGATTATAAGGGGCGGCCAAAAAGATCTCTTTCTTTAAGGAAAGTGTTCATGATAAGTAAAAGCCTTTTTAAAAACCCTGTTTTTTATTTAATTTATATAAACACTAAAAATAAAAATACAGCGACATTTGGGATTGGTGAGAACATTTGAGATAATCTTGTTGGTTGTGAGGAAATCCTTGTCAGCTGCCTTGAACCACAGCCAAAGGAGAGATAGAAAGGTTTTAATAAACAAACAAAGAGATAAATATTGATTTCCCATGCTGTGAGGGATATATTCCATGTTATGAAGGTAGCTGGCATTAGCTCCTACCTTCATAACATGGAATATATCCCTATTGAGGCTGTGCCTGGAAATGAGTCAGCATCGCCCAGTGAGGGAGGACACGTAAGCTCTTCCTCTCAGCTTACGTTGGTCCGCTCTTTCTACTGGAGAAACCTGAAGCAGAGGGGCCGTGGTAAGCCTAATTGGTGGGAACATTTGAGATGATCTTGTTGGTTGCGAGGAAATCATTGTCAGCTGCCTTGAACCACAGCCAAAGGAGAGATAGAAAGGTTTTAATACACAAACAAAGAGATAAATATTGATTTCCCACGCATTTCTTTGAGGCTGTGCCTGGAAATGAGTCAGCGTCGCCCAGAAAGGGAGGACACGTAAGCTCCTCCTCTCAGCTTACGTTGGTCCCCTCTTTCTACTGGAGAAACATTAAGCGGAGGGGCCGTGGCTCAGTTGTAGAGCTTCTGCTTGACATGCAGAAGGTCCCAGGTTCAATCCTGGGCATTTCCAGTTGCAAGGGTCAGGCAGGAGGTGCTGGGAAAGACCTGAGACCCTCGAGGACCGCTGCCAGCAGACAAGACCGACTTTGGACACAGTCAGAATAAAGTGGCTTCAGGAGTTCACGGGAGCCTCACCTTGGTAGTATTGGTCCGGTACTTCAACTCCAGGTCTTCCAGAGACAACTGGTGATCATCCTAAAAGGCAGAATGAAGCCCCAAGATGAATGAGCGGCTTCAGAGGAAAGATATTTGAGTCCGACACTTCCTCACTCTTCAGTCTTTCCCCCCATTGGTGGGCATTATCTATATCTCTATTTCTTAAGTGTAGGCAAATCTGCGGATACATAGATCCGTGGGTCAGGCTCACACTGAGAGAAAGGAGATTTTTCTTGGAGGTTTGAAGAACAATCCTAAAAGTTGCAAAAATTTTATTGGGGAGTTTAAATCCCCCCCCCCAAAAACCCCAGTACTGTTGTGTCTCCTTGTGCACAGATTACTTACCTGAGTTGCCAAGATGGTGGCGCTGGAGGCCTCTGTGGGCTACTAGGGCCCTGCTGCTGCTGTGTGTGTGGGGGGGAGTGGGTGGACTGCCAAAAGAGACAACACTGTGGTGCTGCTGTGGTGGTGGTGGGGGAAGCAGGCGGGAGGGTGGCCAGAAAGACAGAGTGATGATATGTGGGGGGGGGGGGGGGGGGGTTGCCCAGAAAGACAGAGGGAGGATATGTGTGGGGGGGGGGGCGCAGAAAGAAAAAGAAAGAGTGATGTGGTGAGCGACAGAAAGAGAAAGAGAGAGTGATGGGAGCAGAGAGAGAGAGAGAGAGAGAGAGAGAAAGTGACAGCCATGGGGGAGAGAGAGAGAGTAAGAAAAGGGCTGGCGAGTAGGAGGAGTGAGAGACTGGAAGAAGCTGGGGGAGAGAGGAGGAAGCAAAGGTAGGGGGAATGGGATAGCTGCTCCCGCAAGTTTCTTGCAGGTCCCCACTTGTACACTCTACAGGTGCCTACTGACATAGACAACTAGAACAGTCTGGCTGCAGAATCGAGCTTGGATGGAGCCAATACTTTTTTAATATATCTTTCCCTGGTTTTTAACTATTGTAAGCCACCCTGAGCCGCCTCGGTGGGACGGCAGGGTAAAAGTCCAATAATAAATAAATAAATAAATAAATCCCTGCAGGTTTCCAACAGAAACTAGGTGTGCACGTTGCCCATTGGCTGGCCCTTCTAACAGCACAAAACCACTTCTCTCTCCCCGAGCAGGTTTTCAATTGGTTTCTTTTGGTACAGAAGAAACATTTCATCATACAAACTTGAGTTTGCATGTCCTTCATGGATTCTTCCCCCTCCCCTATGCAAAGTAGCTACAGGTGATTTCGGGATAAACAGAGGACCGTTTAACCCTTTCCTCACCAGTCATTTGGCGGCTCAAAACTGCTCTGGGAGAAAAGATGCAGGGACCTTCTCTCTTGGGGAGAAAGGAGCTGGGGGAGGGAGAAAAGGACAAATAACCACCCAGCAAAGGGTTCAACAACCTGTTCCTCTCTAGTCATGTCATGGAGCTAAACAGCTACATAGTTTGGCCTCCAGCCCAACATACCTTGCAGTGTTTTCATGAGGACAGGCTGGGATGCACTCATATATAACTTGCCCCCCCCCTTGGGAAAAGGGCAGGACAAGATGAGAGAAACACCCAATCAGCACCAATATGCAAATGAAGTAGATAAATGAGACAAAGGCATAGGCAGCCTGGGCGATATAAACCCATGTGCTTTCCCCTACTGTCCCTTCGGTGGAGAACCTCCAGGGTAATAACCGTTCCTTCGAGAACGTCCAAATCAGGGCTCCGACTCACCACATCCATCTCTTTCTTCATGCTCTCCAGCTTCTCTTTCTTCTGCTCCCCTTTCTTTTTCTTCTTGATCTTTACGTCCATGTCCCCGTCGGACTGTTTTCCCATCTCTACTGAGTACATCTCGTACTTGTCCTGGAGGGGGGGGGGGAGAAAAAGAAGATGATGGCTGCGAAGCCGAACCCGTTCATCGGTGTGAATCAACAGCCACAGCTTTAAGCACAGGGGAAGGCACTTTGCAGATGTTCAGGGGCAATTTCTTGGTTCCTTCTTGTTTTCCAGCGTTCAGCTGTGGCAAGCAGAACACATTCTGCGAGAACCGGACGGAGACTGACATTCCAGGATAACCCTAAACAGATTTATTCCACTCTAAGCACGTTGATTTCACAGTGCTTAGACTGGAATAGGAGCTGCGGTGGCTCAAGTGGTTAAGACGCTGAACTGTATGCTGTGGAAGGTCGGTAGTTCAGTAGTTCGAGACCCGAGTGTGCCGCATGACAGAGTGAGCTCCCGTCTCTAGTTCCAGCTCCTGCCAACCTAGCAGTTCGAAAGCAAGAAATTGCAAGTAGATAAATGGGTACCACTTTGGTGGGAAGGTAACAGCGTTCCGTGCACCTTGGTGTTTAGTCATGCCAGCCACATGACCACGGAAATGTCTTCGGACAGCGCTGGCTCTTCGGCTTGGAAACAGAGATGAGCACCGCAACCCTAGAGTCAGACTCGACTGGCTTTTGAGCAAGGGAACCTTTACCTTTACCTTTAGACTGGAATAATGCAGGACAGGCATGCCCTGGGAATGTGCAAACGAATGTATGGAGTAGCCAAATCGCCTGCTCACAACTTTAATGCCAGTAGCTCACAAAGTAGAATTTTTGCTCACAGGACACCACAGCTTAGAGGGAACATTGAGTCCGCAACCCTAGTGTCGAATCTGACTGGCTTTCGAGCAAGGGAACCTTTACCTTTAGACTGGAATAATGCAGGACAGGAATACCCTGGGAATGTCACAGAATCACAGAGTCGGAAGGGGCCAGACAGGCCATCTAGCCCCACCCCCTGCTCAGTGCAGGATCAGCCCAGAGCATCCCTGATAAGTGTTTGTCCAGCCGCTGCTTAAAGACTGCCAGGGAGGGGGAACTGGGAATGGATCTTTAAAATGGCATTTTTCACAGACAGAGAAGAACTTCTTGGCTTGAAGATTTCACTTAGGACCAGGGGTCATTTCGGGGGGGAATGCAGGGGATCGCAGTTCCCCCGGGTGAGGTGTGGGGGGGCGGGGCACACGATGAAGCCCCGCCCCCTGCTTCCAGCCGCCCCGCTTTCAGCCCTCATTCAGCCAGGAGGAGGCAGGAGAAGAGGGAGGGTAAGTTGCTTCCTCCCTGCCTCTCCCCACCCCTGCCTGCCTGGGGCCAGGGAGGGCCTTGGCGGAACTTCCTCGCACTCCCGCTGGCCTTGCAGGTCCACCGCCAGGCCCCTGATATCAGGGGGTGTGGCATATGCTAATGTTATGCTAATGAGTTCCCCTAGCTCTTTTTCTACGAAATGACCCCTGCTTAGGAAACCCTTTCTCCTAGGAGGATGAGAGGCTTGAGGGTTTGGGGGACGGTTTAACAGAGCCCGTGCTTTCGATAGGGGTTTGTTTTTCAACAGAAGGTCTCCGAAAGACCTCACTCTTGATCTTCAGGCGGCAGCTGAAGCCAGATTTATTCATGATGGCATTTGGTTAGTTCTTCCGCCTACCGGCAGTTTTAAATTACTGATTTTATCTAGTTTTTTTCTGTATTTACAAGTGGGGACCCACAAGAAACTTGTGGGGAAGGGGCATTCCCCCCGTCTTTGTTTCCTCCCCCCTACCCCTACTTCTACGCCTCTCACTCTTTCTCCATCCTGCCACCCCCTTTTATTTGGGGGAGAATTTAATCCCCCCCGTGTTTTTTTTAAGTGTCAGATTTTTCTGCAAACCTATGGGCCCCCCAAAATTTTCAGAAACATCTGTTTAGTGTAAGGGTGGCCCCAAGCAGTGGATTTAGATATCCACAAATAGGAGGCACGCTTGGGAAATACTATATAGATGTATTTTATTATTATTGACATTGTAAGCCACCTTAAGTTCCTATAAAGTAGAAAGGCGGCTAATAAATGTCTAAAACAAACAAAGAAACAAAGAAACTTATATCAATTATAACTGGAAATTTGATTTTGGACTTGGGCATATAAGGGTAGAACTAGATGGGACACTGAAAGATCTAGAGACAGTTCTCTCATTCTCTTTTAATTCTTTTGTAGCTGCCTCTGAGACTTCTGATTTGGATTGGGGCTGGAGTGCTGGCAGGAGAAGGGTTAATTCTCCTCCTTCTCCTCCCCATCCTCCATACCATTTCCCCAACCTCAAATGGACTCTGAGTCACCCCACTGGGGGAGATATACAGTCAATGAACCAGCAGCTCACGGGGCTTCATCTACACTCTACCTTTCTCTTTGAGACTCAAGGCAAATTGCAAAAATGTAGGAAACCAATGCAATGGGAATAGTATAATTTGATTCATCATGCAACAAAACACTCTAACCCCACCCAGACATTAAAACTACAACCCTTTAGAGTGTTTAAGAATCTCAGGCTAGGATCTGGGAGACCCAGATCTGAATCTCCACTTGTGCTGTGGACGTGCACCGGGGGTGACCTTGGGCAGGTCACGCTCCCTCAGCCTCACCTACCTCTCAGGGTTGTTGTGCAGATAATATGGAGGAGAGGAGAATGATATAAAATGCCGTGGGTCCCCACTGGGGAGAAAGGTGGGGTATAAATGAGCTAAATAGATAGATAAATAAACCGAGTCAGGCCTGGAAATCTCCCAAAATGACAACCCATCTCCAGATAATGGAGATCCGTTTCCCTGGCTGCTTTTGGATGGTGACCTCTTCAGCATTATACCCAACCTGAGGTCCCTCCCTAGAAATCACCAGGATTTTCCCAACCTGGAATTGGCCGCAGGGTTCCCTCCAAGCTGAGTTAGTGTGAGCCAGCTCACAGTTTTTTAGCCTTCGGCTCACCCATTTCCGTCTTCGCCCAGGAAGGATGACTCCAGAGCAAACTGATTTATGCAGTCGCCAAATCGCTCCCTCACAACTTTAATGCCAGGAGCTCACAAAGCAGAATTTTTGTTCAGAAGACTCCCTATCTTAGAGGGAACATTGATTGCCAGCTCTACACCCTGAACAATTCTGTCTCCTGAACACATTCTATGCAATGGCAAAAGGACGGCAATTTTCCTCACCCCTTTCCCCTAACATGAAAATAAGCACCTTAGAGGATGTTTAAGTTTGGGCAGGGGACAGAAAGAGTTAATTCTTCTCTCCTGAACGACAGCCCTGATCTGAATCAAGATAACCCCCCACAATCGTTATTTAGCCATGAAAAACACAGTGGCCTGTCTGCTCCGGTTTAACCTTCACACGTCCCAGCCTCTGAAGAGAGCCAGCCGCTTGACCAAACACAGGAAAGAGTAAAAAATGGTTCGCTCTTAGATTACGGGTTGGACGACGGCCAGTCTCACTGCTGCCAGAAAAGGAGAAGAAGGGTCATTCCCCCCCAGTTCTCCTCCTCACTGCAGGCAGCCCTGCCCCACATAGCTGTGATTCGACTTCTCCTGCCTCCCCACATAGATCTGTGAGCATCTCTTTTCTTTTCTC